AAAAAAAAATAAAAGGCCGCGGAGCATATATTAAAAAATAATAATAAAAAAAATAAAAGGCAACGTGCTGTTGCCAGAAATAGGACAGCAGGTTGCTGCCTTTTTATTTAATATAAAAAAAAAACCCAAAACCATACAAAACTCGGCTCGAAAAGGCCCGAGCCAAAAACTCGGGTCGAGTCTAATTTTTTTTGCCCCAAAAAAAGCTCGGATATTTTAACCGAACCAAGCCTGAGCCTAGAATTTGGGCTCGTGAGTTGACTCGGCTCGACTTGTAGGTATCCCTATGTTTCAATGTAAGTTCTCAAATTTTTTATTTTATGTCTGGATTGCCTACTCTTTAAATTTTTAACACTTGAGTTCTCGTTTGATGGAAATTGGCTCATCGCCATTTAAAATCACATTTTGTTAAAATCTTGTCATACTATTATTCCATATTAAATAAAAAGAAAAAAAAATAAGAAAGTCAGCCGCCCTTTTTTATTTTTTTTTTCTTTCAGATCCTTTTGACTATGTTTCTACTTTTTATTGAAATTATAACGTTTACTCATTTATTCTTCAATAGTAAATCATGCAACTTTTTGACAATCAAGTACTACAAATTTAAAAGGTAACTCAAATGCAATAAAAAAAAAAAAATGATGGAATCAATGATTCGATTTCTTTCATTATAACTAAGTTGAAGGTCTTTTGGTAAATTTATCATAAATTGATTGTTATTTGACAGTGTAAGCAAAGATTGGAAACAGACAAGATGTTCACGAGAGAGATCTCTAGTGGGTCATGAAAATCCCGACAGGATACAGCATGTTTGGAAAAACATTAAAAAAAAATATGTTTATTTACAAGAAAGTATGTAAAATTACCTACTTTTTTAAAAAACTTAAAAATGGAAAATGGAAAATATCTTCCCAACGACTCACATAGTGTGGTTATGTATCATTAATTTTTAGAAACTGAGGTTCTAGATCAATTTTATGATCGTTATTTTACTATTCTTATTGTTATTTTTTACTTTTTTTTTCATAGGTATGACCTATTTTTTTCTTTGACGATCAAAAAATCAATTCTCGTAATCACTATCGAACAGATATGTGAATAAAGGTTTCACGTGATCGAAATAGTAAAATCCAATGCGATTTTCAGTTGAATTGTTGCAAAATATCAATTGATTTGATGAGTTTGCTCTCAAGCTTCATGTTTTGTGAAAGTTACTTATGGAAAAGCTCACGTGGGACGGTTATACTAGCAGATTTTTAATGAAACCAACGTTAAAATTTCAGCCACTATCTTTGCAAGTTCAATTAATTTACACATGCTAAATGCTACTAATAAATTAATACCCCATTTAATATGTCTCGTCTCTACAAAAATTCCAAAATCCAACAACCATATGCTACTCTAGAAAATAAGTAAAATTAAAAAAAAAATGCTTAATTTATGAATTTCCATAAAAATTAATTTGAAAATTGAAATTCAAATGCAAATTAAGGGTTGTAAAAGTGTCCATTACATCTACACTTCCATCCAAGTGGCTTGTAATTTGAATACCTATCGTTCTCATCTGATGATGGAGTTGCTTCAGTTTGACTCGGCAGTACTCGGTTGTGACTCGGCAGTGGTGGCACTTGCACCGCCATGCACGGGTGGCATTGGTTGCATTTGTTGTGACAACTAGGTGGCATTGAACCCAATCTTGCCTTTTCTTCCATCGACAAACCCTACAATCAACAAACCTTTAAAATAATGCTCGGAACAAGATTTAAATAAATATATGTGACATCTTTAATAATTAAACTTAAAAATTGCACAAAAAACTATAAGTTGAAGTATTTTCGCCACCCTATTTATGAAAATTGTACACATCATATATTTGAGTAAATTTGAATTTGCTTTCTACAAGAGAAACGTACTAGGTCCCTCTTTGATTAAGCTACAATAGTTCATTAAAACTTAAGTCCAGGTCAACGATTTATTCTAAAATACATAATTCATGGGATCCAAAACTTTTAAAACGGACATTTAATCATCTTTTGTCAAAATATACTGAAAATTAACTTTCATCTAAGCTAAACATGAGTTAGATAAAGTACTAGCTATACAATAAAAAATAATCTCACTGGAAAAAAAAAAATCGTTTGCAAAGTGCTGACAGTGTATACTCGATTCAATAGACACCCACATAGGGAAGAAAAACGAGTGAGGAGCGTACTAAAAACAAGATTCAAATAATTCAAAAGAATGGATCGTTACAAAAATAATCTCACACAATTGAAAAAAATATACGCTGCAAAGTGAAAAACGAGCATACATACTCCACAACAGGGACAAAGAAGAAGAAGAGAAAAGGGATTTACCCTTAGAGTGTATGGAGGCTGTCTATGATATAAACAATGAGAATGAGAGAGAAAATTGAGAAGGGCAACAATTATGATACAAGTCATAGCCATGGCTGCATTTTAAGAGGGAGAGGACAGAGATAGGGTTTTTTCCATAAGATAAAAGTTTAAGGGTTATATAGAAATAGAAAGAGTAGCAGAAGATATAACAGACCATATTCTGAAAGTAGTGTTGAAGTGAAAATAACAAGTCGTAAAGAAAAAGTAGGAAATGGCATTGATCAGAATGCAAGGGACAAATTTCTTTCTGTTAAGTTATTGAAATAATGGTCTGCTAATAGCAGTGTAGAAAGCGAAAGGTCTATATATGTCCATCACGAGGGGGGTACATAGCTATTGTCTATCATTGACCATTATGGTTGAATCAGTCGAGGGTCGGGAGACTAACAACAATAAATAATAACAATGACATGAATAAAATTGCCCCCAGGGCACATCCGAATTGGTTGAACAATCACTTCGCTGGGACGCTGGAAGTAAGGGTGGAGAGTTCGATTCCTGGAGTTAACACTGGGAGCCATATGGAGAGGAAGCCATTGGTGTGAACAAACGCCCAGTGAGGAGAGCTCTCTTTGCGGAAGGAGTCCAAATGAGTTGTGGGAACCTGGGAGCCAACAAGGGCACATCCTGCGATTTACCTCCCTGAGCAGCTGAGGGGCCGGATGTTCAGGGACAAGGATCTAGTCGGACGCAAGCCCGGACACCTTGTAAAAAATAAAAAGTCTATCATTGACCATTATGGTTGAATCAGTCGAGGGTCGGGAGACTAACAACAATAAATAATAACAATGACATGAATAAAATTGCCCCCAGGGCACATCCGAATTGGTTGAACAATCACTTCGCTGGGACGCTGGAAGTAAGGGTGGAGAGTTCGATTCCTGGAGTTAACACTGGGAGCCATATGGAGAGGAAGCCATTGGTGTGAACAAACGCCCAGTGAGGAGAGCTCTCTTTGCGGAAGGAGTCCAAATGAGTTGTGGGAACCTGGGAGCCAACAAGGGCACATCCTGCGATTTACCTCCCTGAGCAGCTGAGGGGCCGGATGTTCAGGGACAAGGATCTAGTCGGACGCAAGCCCGGACACCTTGTAAAAAATAAAAAAATGACATGAATAAAATTTCACTTGAAAAGAGTGGACGATTATGTTGCTAAATTTGGCACTACTTAGACTTTGTTAGGGCAGGGTTGTTGTTTAGCCAAAAGAAATTACGATCTACCCTTAGAGGAATTATCTTAGACTCGCACGTGATGTTGTACAGTAATATTTTGAACCTACTAATCTACGAGTTATATTTCTAACGAACACAAGACACTAGTTTGTAAAGGTGGACGTAGTTCGATTTAGTAGAGTTTCAAAGATAATTGAAAAAATAAAAATAAAAATAGGGTTAAAATCGGATTTTTCATTTTAGGCATAGAACCAGGAATTGAATCGATCCATTTTCGATAGTATTGTAAACTCTTTAAAATGGAGGTAGTACCTATAATTTTGTCCACCTAGCTCTACTAATTTTGGAGGGGGTGTGGTTGAGGTTGGCTAGGGGTTTGGTAGGGTTATGGCAGTAGTTAAAAATCTCATTTAATGAGGGAATTAATTTTTGTGACAGTAGAAACATGTGGGTTTGACTGAAATCTCAAGGAGAAATGAAACAAAAATGTTTGCTCTTTTCATGCTTGAGTACATATTCAGCTGAATTAGGGTTTATATCTCTTTATAATCATTGCAGTACTGCTTAAAAGTTGAATCTGAATTCCCAATTTTGTACCAGCATGTTTAGAGGGATTGAATGGTTACTCAAATCTCAAGTGAAAGTGGCACAAGTTCCCATTTTTACCCTTAATTGAGAAAAATATTTTATAATTTTACAATATTTATTTTTAGTTTTCTTGACTCAAGTCAAGAAAAAATAGAAATAAAATAAAATTTGTTCGAAGGGAGATTTCAATCATAGTCCATGGTGATGAGAGGTTAACTGTCTGAACGAAATTGCATTTCTTGCCTATGGAGCAGGGAATCTCCGAGGAAGTAAAAGTAAAATTTGTCGGTGGAGAGATTTCGATCATAGTCTGTAGTGATAAGAGGCTAATTGTCTCGAACAAAACTGCATTTCTTGCCTGTGGAAAAGGAGAACCTTTTAGGGAGGATCCTCCGCATAATTCCTTGCGTTTGAGTTAGTTCAAAGGAATCACAAGTATCAATTAAATTAGAGTCAAGTCGTATACCCAAAAAAACCTAATAGAAGAGTTAAAATCCTATTGTTATCTTTAGCAAATTTGACAATGGACGAAAGAAAAGATTGTCAAATTAAAGTCGTCAAACTCTTTCCAAGTTTTCTACATTTTAATTTGCTCATCTTCATTCCAATGAAACCTAGTAAATAGTGATAGAAGGGAACCAAAAAAAATGCTACAGTCACCATTTCTTCTCGAATTTAATGCTATTTCAGTCAATTTTTTCCGAGGACAAACTCGTGCTTGGAACTAACATCCAACGCACAACAATCTTAACCTAACACGTGTTTCTAAAATTTACACACTATGCCCTTGTTTAGTACGAATTAAACCCTTGTTTGAGTCTCATTCTTTTGAAAAAAATACATTTTCCAACGGTGTTTTGACATCATTTCAATCACACATTCTTCAATAAAATAATATTACACGCAAATCCAAAAATCTGCTTTATTTTTTAACCATACATTTTTCATCAATATACTATTCAAAAATTCATTCTTCTCCAAAAATGAGGCTCCAACAAGGGCTAAAATTAAAATTTTAATTTCAATTATAGTAAATAATTAAGGATTTTGCTGAGAACCATTCTCCGGGGGCAGGCCTTGGACGTCCAGGCAAAAGCCCGTTGCTGAATGTACTGCATTTACCGAACAACAACGTTTATAGCCCTCACCCAAGGGTGGGGTCTGCGATTATTTTAATTGTTGACCCCATTCGATGCATGTGTGTGTGTGTGAACAATGCTGTACACATTTGCTATACACATAGCATGTTTCAATAATTAATTTTAACTTCATAATTCATAGGATTCATAATTTTTCATTTACATATTTCTTTAAATTTTATCAAAATTTACTAAAAGATTGATTTTAATCACCATCAGTCCAGGACTATATTTCATCATATAATGATAAAAAACATACCTTGTTTGAAAAACCAAAAAAAAAAATAAAAAATTACAAATATGTCGTCATAAGTAACTAAATAGACAATTTCTTAAAAATAACAAATCAATCCATGTATTTTACATTATTGTAACATTATACATACCATTTTACCTACTCTATCATTTTTCAAAATTATAATTATAAGAAGCCATGATTTTTATTTATAATGTTTCTTTCTTTAAAAGATGGTTTTCTTTATTTTTTGTTATCTTCGTTTTCCTCAAACTTTAAATTAGAATAAATAAGAAATTAATTATAATAAACCTGTGTTATTTAGAAATTTATATAAATGACTTTATTCATTTTTTAGTTCCAACATTATAAAATGGACAAATGAAAATTCATTGTTGTGGTCTTTAAATTAAAAAGTCTTGTTTAATGAGTAAAGATTTTTTAAAATAAAGTAAAAATATTTTTATAATAGTTATTATTTTGAAGTTTAAAATTATTTTCTTAATTCATTTTAAGTTGAAGCTGTCAAATTTATATCGATTGTAAACCCAAATTTCTGAAAATAATGGCCTTTCTTTCTTTCTTTTCCTTTTTACCCAAATGAAGCTTCACAGAATAGAATGCAAATATAATTTTTTTTAATAAAAATATATAAGTTTATGTAAAAAAATAATGTTATTAATGTAATTAAGAGACTCGACCATAAGTTCATTTTTGGAGACGTGTGATAATTTATGTAGAAGATATCGAAATAAAGATAGAAATTTAGTTTTTTGAATGAGAAGAAGGAGTAAATTAAAATTTTAAAAAGGTTTTAAAATGTCATTTATTGTAATTATTGTAAAATAAATGGTGTGACTTGTTATTTTCATTTAAGGGCATTTTTGCCTGTTTAGCTATTTATAATAGTATATTTGTATTTTTTTTAATTTTTTTTTTTACTTTTTACCGCATACTTGTATTTTGTTACTGTTAACGAAAATATAGTATGTAAACTATAAATTATAAAAATATGATATGTAAAGTATAAATAGACTCTATATGTGGGATGTATTTTGTAGAGTTCTTCTTATTTTAAATAGATCACTTATTTTATAATTTGTTTCAGTTAAGATGATGTGTCATAATTAATTTGCTAGACATAATGATACGTTTGTGTAGATTAAAGTGAGTCGATCGCAATAAATAAATCCTACATAACTATCCATCCAAAAATCCGTCCACCAGACCATTATTCAGCTCAATCATCATTTTCTTTCGTTTATTATTTTCTTTCTATCCCCATATATAAAAATTTGAAACTTCTAATTTTTATAGTGACTTCAATTCCAACCAATTTCTATACATGCACAACTTATCAAAGAAATGATGTAAAGAGGGAAAAAATTGCAATCGGGACCTATAAGGACCAAAAGGTGTACAAAATCGAAATATGAGGAAATTGAACAATATAATACAACAATAACTCTTCATGTAACATTTCAAAACAAAATTGGGTGAAACCAATGAAAACCTAAATTCCTCTCTCTTCCTTTCTCTCCTCACTCTCTCTGAATTGGCGATGGAGTAGAAGTTCCATCCCGACCCGGTGCGTTCAACTGAAATCGATGAGAACCCATTTTGAAGGAGACCTCACCGCGAAGCCACCACCACCACCCCCCAACGGCGATGCAGAAGTTACCCACAATTTTTCATTGATTTACCCCCAACGTATTCGCGCGATTGACGAGGCGAAGATGAAAGTCTGAATCACCCTCACCGCGAAAACCACCATCACAATACTTTCTCCTCCAGCAGCCACTTTCAAACTACCACTGGATAAACCCCTCTGTGTTGAAATCTTGAAACCAACTGTGAAGTAAGTAATTCTGACATTGTAATTCTAATTTTGGGAGAACCAATCCTGATTATAATGCATTTTCACATCTCTTCCTTGCTTTGGCATAATTTTTGTCGTGGAAATTACCATTTCAGCTGCCATTTGCGAGGATGGATTGGTCTATGCATCTCTAGTTACTCACCAAACCTTTTGAACTCAAAATACAAACAAATTGTTATCTAATCGAAAAATTAACTTTTCAATAACCTTCTAAATAATATGTTCGATTGTCCTGCTATTCAGTAATAAATGTATGTGTAAATTTTTATGTGAATGCCTGCTGCCCTGCACTTCTGGAGATGTGAATTTGTAGTGGTCGAGCAACTTGCGTGATTTTGCATTGGTGTCTGTAAATTGTTTGTGCCTAATCGCAAGTTGAGAGGGGCGAATTTCGGAGTTTGTCACAGTTGTAGAAGCACAATGCATTACTTTAGAGATTGCCCCAGAAAATTTCGATGCCCATGGTGTTCACATGAAATTCAAAAATGTTTTGAGGTCAGAAGGAACACCAGTAACAATGAGCGATTATTCAAAAGTTGTAGTGATGACTGTGGCTACTTTGAGTGGGTCGATAATGAAGAATCGAGTGGTGAAGTGAATGTTGTGGCCAATGAGGAATTCGACGAACTGCCAAGCATGTTTGACTCTCTTGCGCGAATTGCCAACAAACGAGGTGTCAAGATTTTAGTGAACATGACATTTCGTAAAGACAAAGGACGTAGGAAGGAGTATGGGAAAGAAAAGAGCCCAACAAGGCATGTGTAGTAGCTGCAGGTTGTTTGAAGTTGTTGAAACTCCAGTGTCCAGTGTTGCTTTGTGTAGTAATTAGTTAGTTTTTTTTAGGTTGTTGTATTGTTGAACTTGTGGTTATCTATGTTATGTTTTTTGAAGTCATGTAATCAGTTCCAAGTGTTAATGTGTGGTAACTGTCTTTTTTTAGCTTGTAGTGACGTGTAGTGTAGTTATGTAATTAGTTTATGTTGTAATCAGTTCCAAGTAATTACATGACTGGTGATTGTTGAGCATTTTCTGAAGTTATTTACTCAAGCATATGGCTGTTTCACATGTTCTATTGGAGCATTTATCTATCAATATATGTCAACATAATTTAAGTGAACCACAATAGACCTTGATGTTTCAGTTCCTTGAAATAAAAGACAACCACCTGCAAATACATGGGAAACACTTTACCACTTAGTTTCATTGTAAACACATGAACTCATCATTTCCATTTAGGGCCTTTCATGGCTATTGGCCATAATTGTTAGTCAAGCCATATAAAATGAAAATACAAAATGGATGCTACTGGCCATAATTAGTCAAGCCATACAATATGAATATATGGCTATTGGCTACAATTATATTTTTGCACAAACCATACATAATCAGCCTAGAACTAATCAAAATATTCGCAGATATCCTTGACCATTCCTAAAAGAAGGCTCATCGCTTTTTTTCGACAAATTGTAGCCCCTCGATGTCAACCACAGCTGTTCGTTGTAACTATTGTTGGTTGCTACTGTCACCCTACATTACAAAATACCCTAAATAAGGCTCGGACCAAATGAAATAAAATACGTACCAAAAATGGTTGCGAAGATGACAATGGCGTCAACGACGAACATTGTTCAGAGCCGTCAACATCTAGTACACCTTTTTCCATAGTGCTATGTCTACCTGTCGGTCTACTACCTTTTCCTTTCGTCGAACTTGCCTGCATGTCACATCGAAAACATATTAGAATTTACATTCGAACTCAGGTTGAAATCGTAAGGAAAGAGAATAAAATATAAAATACCTTTGCTTTCTTCGACATTGAATCCAACTGTCCTTTACGTCAAACTTTCCTTGGCGCACCCTTTCGCTTTGATGATAGGGAATTTAGTACATTGATGCCAAAATGATTTAGAGAATCCGATCCGTGAGATAGTACATGATTGGAATGAGTACAACAACTCGACTTCAGCTCCTTCGCCTGAACCTTTATACAATCCATTACTGTAGAACTCCGGGCTTCATCGTCAACATCAAGGTCAGCCACCTCGAAAAATGCCCGACATATATCGTCATACCTCAATTGTACAGGAGTACTGGCCAACCCAACGTAGTGCACTGCCACCCTCGTGTGCGCTCTACTAACATCCCTTCTTCATCTTCGCAATATAAACTTGTTCGGCAATAACTTGACATTATTACGTATCAAAACAGTGAATGCATGCCGACAAAGTATCCCTCGAAACTCGAATAAATGACAGCTGCAAACACAAACTATATTATCACACGTCTCCCTCGTAAATGAGACGAAAAAGATTTTTTCGTCCTATGCTCTCCATATAGTAGGACATCTTCCCAAACCTTATAAATCGTCCTCGAACATCCCTCTGAAACAGATATAATGTAACAGTAAACTTTCCCGATGAACTCGTTCTGAACCTCTCTAAACTTTGATATGGTGTAAACTTTTTGAAATTGCTTTTCCAAATTAAAATTTGTTACGCATGGTACCATTTGCGCGTATGACTTAAAATCAGCCTGGAACTCTTTCTCGACCTTGGTCCGCAGTACTCTTTCATATTGTTCAACAAATTACTTCAAAGAGATTTTTGAATGCACATACCCGTCAAAGAATGCATTCACACTCTCACTTCTTTGCGTTGTGGACATTCCAGCCCAGAATGTGACTTTCAAGAAGCAAGGAATCCAATAGCCTCTGTTTTCAAACAATCCCGACAACCAATCATTGTCATACAACTTGTATGTATCAATCATCGCCTTCCATCCTTCTTCGAAATCTTCAACGGTCTGCGAATCATATACTAATCTATGTATAGTATGAAAGATCGAAGCCTTAGCATCGTGATAGCCAAACTTCTCAAGCAACTTCTTCAAAATATGTCACAGACACCACCTATTCGTCGTATGTGAAAATACAATCTGAATTGCATTCTGTATTGCCCTGTCTTGATCAGCAATTATTTCATGCGGTGCTTGACCGTGCATGCATTGCAGCCATGTTTGAAATAGCCATACGAATGTAGTCGTGTCCTCATTAGCTATCAAGCCACAACCGAGATTGACGCCAACAAATGGGGTGAACGACATGTCATACTTATTAGTAAGGTATGTTGTATCAAAGGTGACAACATCACCAAACTCTTTGTATGCTTGCCTATACCTGTTGCTGCCCAAAATACATTCTTCAGTTGGGACTCCTCATCTAAATCTATAATGAAGTAAAATCCCAAGCACTGTGCTTGCTTATTCGAAAAATAGGCCTGTATTGCGGCAGCATCTCCTTCTCCTAGTCTTAACTGTCGCATTTGTTCAATATAATTTCGAAAATCTTTCTCGATGAAAGCCATAGTCTCATAACTACCTGCTTCCACCACTGCAGAGTTGTAACTCTTGTGTAATGGAATTCCTGCCATATCATTCACTTCAAGCTTTCGTTTGACATTTGCAATCAATTCTTGATTGTATCGGTACAGCCTAGATTTCGAAGGACTCGTTAGATGATTGTGCTCCAGGTGGGCTGTATTTAGCCCTCGTTTGAGCCCCATTTCTTGGAGATTATAATGTTTTGAATAGTGTTTTTTTGAAAAATGAGTGGTTGAAAAGAAAAGAAAAGATTTTGATTTACGTGTAATATTATTTTATTGAAAATTGTGTGGTTAAAAGTAGGAGAGAGAAAAATTTAATTTAATGTAATGATGAATAATGGGGCTCAAACGGGGGCTTACTCTCCAATTTTCCATTACTTAATAAAGACGCTGAGATCCTTGCTTTGCAATCAGTTTGACTAATTAGTTGTTGCTTTAAAGAATTGTTTGTACCATAACTTCTTCTACTCTCACGACTACAAGTAAACGTTACATATCTCACAACACCATCATCCCCCCTTTTTCGAATTCCATTTCCTGACTGGAAAACCCACTTCGTAATCATATTTTTTTTTATAGAATTCAAACATTTCTTTCTCATCATCGAACATCATCCCCCCCTCGGGCACATTCATACCATCTCCTATAAACTTATCATTTTCAACTACGTTCGCATTGTTCGTGACATTTTCATTCTCAGGTTCAACCAATAAATCATTGTGCTTCTCTTCCATAATTTCTGATCTTGAGATGAAAGAATCATGAATGAGACATTAACACATAACAGCCAAATAATGTGTACAATCTCTGTGAAACCAATAACAGAAATCACGAAATCAGAAAATGCACTTTACCAACCCAACAAAAATCAGAAATCACGAATATATTGTGGAGGCAAATTTAAATATAGCTTCATCCCTACTTTTGGAGACTAAATTTTACTTTGTTTTGTACCATAATCTTGCTTTGAAAAATCAAAAGATGTTTTTTTTTTTTTTTTACCTACCTAAGCTGTAAATAAAAGGTTTCAAATATACCTTTCCTCGTCAAGTCGACGACTCCTTCGAATTCCATATTTTAACGGAGATGTGGACGGTGCAAGTGGGTGAATGATGCGGTGTTGGTCGATCAGTCGCGGCTGTCACAAAAGCAAGAAACGAATGTCCCTTTCCTCCACAATTTGAGGGAAGCCGCACAGGTGGGTGGAAATATGCGCCGATGGATTAGCTTGAGGTTGGTCAAAGATGGAGGTAGAAGAGGTTGTCGGAGATGGAGGTAGGAGATTTCGACGTTGCAGTTGGCTATGAGTTCCCTGTGAGTTTAAATCTGTACGTGAAGCGTTATTGATAAGACAAAGAATTTTGAAAAGCATATAGATTAGTAACAAGCAAATATTTTGTACCTATATCTTTAAATATTTTGAAGATAATAGTAATAGAAAAGTTCGAGACTTTCCAAATTTGACTTGGGCAAAAAAATCCTATGAGGCTTCATAGTCTTTAAAATTAGGCTTGAACATATTCATATGATGTGCGAAAAAATTCGTGCATTACAATTACCCACTATATTGTTGTACAAGTTGTGGGCGAAGGGCATTACTAGCATAAAACTAGGTTCATTGCCCAAGTTTGCTCGTCCCAACAAGCACTATGGACACAAGTACTATTCGATTACATTATTTTTAAAATATATTTTTCTCTCTCTTTTTTTCACTACAAATTTTTCAATAAAATAATATTATATACAAATTCAAAATTTTTTCATATTTTTCAACCACGTATTCTCGATTAAAATACTATTTCAAAATGTATTTTTATTATAAAAAAAGGGCTCAAACAAGCCACATAAGTGACATCTCGAATTATTTTCTTAACCTCTAAAGTACTACGCAATCTTCTTTATTAAACAAATTTACTCAAAATCCAATTACAAAATGGTAAAGTACAGTAGAATCAAGAATTCTCCAACGCCAATCAACCATTCAAATCTCCAGTTTATTCAAACAGCTTTTTTAATAAAAATATCTATGGTGGTGCGTCACTCAGATGCGTGTAAAAGTTTCAAAGTACAAACAATAATACAATTTCCCAAGCAGCGCACTCTTTCAGTGGGGTCTGAGCCGTTGAAAAAAAAAAAGTATCTTCCAGCAGTTAAACACATACAGACAAGATTTGATCTTGGCTTTTTGCTTATTTTTCTTGAATTGCTTTTACTCTTTTCCACTCACACTCAGTTTACTCTCTCTTTGAAGAGAGAGAATGAGAGAATTCTCTTAGACCTTCATTTCAGGCGGATAAATTGGTGTGCTACTTCACAGATCCAAGAGTACAAAAAGCTTGGTAATTTTGGGTTCTCTTCAAATGGGATTCTTGAATATGTATTTGTGTTGTATTTAATTTAATTTTCGTAGTCATTTATGGGCAATAGGGCTGTGAATATTTGTATATTAAACTCTGTTTATAGCTGTATTTTCAGCATTTTTGCTCTCTAGCCATGGCTAATCTACGCATTTCTGGAGAATTTCTGTTATATAATTTTGTGGGCTATGTAATTTTAATCATTTTAGCCCGATTTATGATCTGAATATTCATTATTTCCCTCAAATCAGTTCTGGGTTTTTTAAACTGAAATTTTATCATAAGGTTGTGCCTTTTCACTTACATTTTGCAAAATTCAAGAATTTCTTGAGTAGCTTATACTCTCCCTTCTTCTAGGTCTAATTTTTGTTTGGATTCTCTAGATTTATTTATTTTTTGTTTGTATTATGTAGATTTTGATTTTTAGCTTATGTGTTTCTTCGTAATGTTTTAAGGATTTCAGTATTAATTTTCTGAAATTGAAGAGAATATACCATTTTGGTTAGGGTAGTACTGAATTTGTAGTGGGAATGTGAAAATTTGACCAAGTTTAGCTTCTTGATTTCTTGATCTTCTTATCAGGAAAATAGCTAAAGATAAATGGAGGATGGGGACTATGGTCGTCGATGGGACGAACTAATACCCGATACACTCGGGCTAATATTCAAGAATCTATCGCTTCATGAGGTATTGACTGTAATACCCATGGTTTGCAAGTCGTGGGGAAAGGCAGTGATGGGGCCTTATTGCTGGATAGAGATAGACATTGAAGAATGGAGCCGAAACCGCAAGCCTGAAATTGTCAACCGAATGCTTCAATTACTGATAGGTCGAAGCTGTGGGTCGCCCCGAAAACTGTGTGTTTCCGGCCTCTCTGGGGACGAAAGCATTTTGTTCATTGCAAACCAGTAAGTATCGTGTGGAATCGTTGTTTAGTGATTTCCTAGGATTTACATTAGCGTACAATCTACTCATAATAGTCTAATTTCTAACTTGGGTTCGAATTCTAGAATGATTTGAATAATCTTTGACAGGGTTTTAAAGATTGTTAATCTGCACTTCACATTTTGGATTGTGTTCATTTGATTATGTTTTGGTTTCAAGTGCCAAATCTTTACAGACGTTGCAACTGCCAAGAAGTGAAATAAATGATTCGATAGTGGAAAAAGTTGCTGGCATGCTATCCACTATTACGGTTTTAGATTTGAGTTACTGCATCAATATAGGGGCTCAAGCTCTTGAAGCAATAGGGCGGCACTGTAAATTTCTTGCTAGTTTGCGGCGAATAATGCACCCACTAGAGGTGATCGACAAGCTTTCCCAAGACGATGAAGCCCTAGCCATTGCTAATACGATGCCTCGACTCAAGCAACTTGAGATTGCCTACTTGCTTGTCAGTACAGCAAGCGTAACCGAGATTCTTAAAAACTGCAAACAGCTTGAGTTGCTAGATGTACGAGGTTGTTGGAATGTGAACCTGGACGAGAAATTTGTGAAAAAATTCCCGGAATTGAAGGTGGTCGGACCCCTAGTCATGGATTGTTATGATATGAATGGCTGGGATAATTGCTCGGATTATTCAAGCTCGTCCGGTTACCTAGCCTGGGATTTTGTGGCCGGGGAGATTGATGACGATTTTGCTGATGAGATGTTGGATGACTTTTGGGAATACGAACATCCTATGGAGGATGTAGAAATGTGGTTTTATGATGATGTTAATGCTATTGACGAGGGGTACGACTGGCCCCAATCTCCCTGAGATACGAAGAGTATAGTTTGTATTTGTTCGGATCGCCTGCTGTTTCTTCACTCTGTATGCTACTTGAGTTTGATCTAAGTTCATATGCTCTCTGTGATATAACCATGTAAGAATCTCTTTGTGATATACTATGTAAGAATCTGGGCGTGTATCTTGGAAGTAATCAAATCAGAAACACTTTCTATATCAAGCTTCGATTATTTCTAGTCTTGAAATTTTTGTTTGTGCCTTCGTAAGACTCATATTTGATGGTTTTGCCCCGGACAAAGGTCGGGTATTGCCTTATAACTTGAACATGAACATGGAAAGAAAGAGCGAACATCATTATGCGTTCAAATGTGATTTCTACATGGAAAATCTGATATATCACACGAGTTTTACACAAAATATATCAAACGTCTACCACATGATGCAGAATTTCCCTTTGTTTTACACCAAAATCAGTTTATTAATACAAATACAATGGCTTCTTTCAAATATCGAGAAAAAAGCAATGTTACTCTTCAATTTTCATTTCCATCTTCCCTACTCCATGACGAATCTCTCGTGTGAACTAACCTGCTCTAAATGGTCGAATGTCAAGCATAATTGTACAAAACCACGATCTTGCGCCACTTCTACCGGTATCAAGAAACATCGAGAAATTGAGTCGAAAGTTTGCCTCGTCTCACTGAAAATCTAGGCTCTGTCATTGTTGGCTTCCTTCTGTCTGGCTAAAGTACGGAGTTGGTTTGTATCCAAATGTGGTGCTCCATCGACTGCTAAATTCGAGGCCTCTGTTGAATTCTGATCTTGATTCGATACACGTTTACTCTCCCAAAACTTCCCAGTTTTCCCAATTGCAAGAATGAGATCAAGCTGTTTCTGCTGCTGCTCCTACACAGAACTCAACAGTAATAGATATCAGATTAACAAATTAGCAATTTGAGCCCATAGTTTTTCAAGTATTTTCTACTTCTATATAATATAGCAAGGCAAACTAAAGATTGCTCGAGTAAAGAATGGTGAAATTATATCTGAGACATTTCTAAAAGTGTTCCCCAAAAATTTTGATATAATGCCTCACTACAAAAGGTTTTTCATTTGTCGTTTTCACTGAAAATGTACTCAAATTTTGATAGCTATAAACACGAACTAAAACGGTGCATCATTTATAATAGATAAATAAGAATAAGAAATTTTTCTTTTACAGTTCTGATGGATACAATACATAACATCATTTCTCAGCATTTGAATGGCTCTGTAGAATTTCCTACTAAAGTATTTCTGTAAAGATTCAAGGCCAATATCTTCGGATGAGCGAGTACATATTTCTGTAAATTTAAAAATTTGAATGCAAATGTTCCTCATGTCACCCAGCTTGTAAGACTATAAATTCCAATGCAAATACAAGTAAATGAATTAGGGAGCATATTTGAAAATAATTGGTGGGCATATGTATCCCCAGGACGTAAGACCATAAAGTTTATTTCAAATTTAAGGTATAGGATTAACATGACCTAAGCAAGAAAGGGTGTCATTTGTGCCCATTTCAGCAGGGAACCGAAAGCTGCATGAGAGATATAAAAAGCTTTGGAAATCAAAACAGCCTAAATAACTTCTTATGCTTGTCAGATCTCAGAAAATTTGCCCAAACTGTTAGTAAAAAATAAAAAGAAGCACTTACTTATCCAGCATTTGAAAGTAAAGAATGTGAGATTATTGTAATTGTTGAGATGCCCAGAAATAAACATTTTTCACCTCATCAAACAGTGCCTCATTTTCACCAGTCAAAATTGTTCATCACAAAATAATAATAATAATAATAATAATAATAATAATAATAATAATAATAATAATAATAATAATAAGACTAGCAAACAAAGAACGATTATTTGCTATGTGCTAACAAATGCACAAAGAAGAGCAGATCAAAAAGAGATATCTTTGACAAATTACCCAGGCAAGCCACACGGTAACATAAAAAATGTCTAGGCACAAACTTGCCAGACAGTTTACTGGCACGGTTATCTATTAGACAACAAGTGACATAGAGCAGAGCTTTCTTGCCAAAAAACACAGAATCTCTCTGAAAAATTATAAACTCAGTTCAAGATAATCCACTTGTAGTTAGATTGTTCTAATTATTTATACAATTCCCTCTGCCCCCTACCCCTGGATGGTTAGACTAATCAAGATAAAAGAAGAATGTCTGTTGATCATATGTGTCTCTAAATGAATCTATCTTCCAGTTTACATCTTTGACTGCCAACATTTCACACAAATGCCTGTCAAAAATATGAAACGGAAAATACCATAAAGTTCGAATTCACAGCTAATAACATCGATTCAAATGGCATTGACATAATAGAAAACAAACTATCCAAGAGAGTTGGCTCCATGGTATGAATCAATTATTTGAGTGAGGTTGGTAAACCTATTGCGTTCTTGTTCTATCTTTTTTTCCTTTAAACCACAAAAGACAAAAAGAAAAGCTCTCCTTTTTGGCTTTAATTAAGATATAGTTGCAAATACTCTTTCAATGTGCACGAAACATGAAGCATTTGGTGAAATATCAGAATACAAGCAGTCTGTCAACCTCAAAGAGAAGACAATAGTTCCAAATTGAAGGTGGCCACTGGCCACTCTTTGCTCATTCTAATTTTTAGATCTTCCCCCTCCTACTACTCTCTTGTGGAAGCAGGACTCCTGTAGACAACAAAAATACTATATGGGAAGTTTTTTTCTTAGAGAACTATATGCATCTAAAAGTAATGACTTGAGTTATTAACCAAAATATTTTGATATCCTGAGATGCTAAGTTATGTTGACAGTTATTGCCAATTATATATTTCAAGATTGAAAATAAATTAAGTACGACTGGATGTTTAGAAAACAACGATTTAACCGAAAAAGATTCAAAATAGACATATACTAGTTCACAACAAATTTTGCAAAAGAATAATAGATTCAATTTTAAAAGGCAAACTTGAACAAAAGTTCTTAAATGAAGAAAGTGAATGGTTTAGAGACCTTCACAAAAGTCGAAGATTCTTGTCTTAATCTAATTCTTGGATTTAGCTGTCTAAGGAGGAGGGATTTGGGGTAATTATTATTATTATTATTATTAATTTTTTTATTTTTTATTTTTAAATGGAACAAATGCAACCAATTTTTGACAGTAACCTTCCATCATATCAACAAGATGGCCCCCAGGGCATATCTCCCAGTGGCAAAGGGGAGGGCGGATAGGGCTCAGCGCGGCAGTGTGCAGAGTTCGATTCCCCGCAAGGTGGAATTGACTTTGTTGCAAGCGGGAGTTACCATATGGGTTAACAGCCTTGGCCTATCCATATGCTCTCCACCCTGGCTCCTGAAAGGCGCATCCTGCGATTTACCTCCTCCACGATGGCCCAGGGCAGGGTCGGTGGGGGCCCTTAAGGTTGGGATTCAACCTTTTAAAATGGGAAAAGATGAAGTACTTTTTTCCTGACAGCTAAATGACCTAGTAAATCGAGATAAATCTGGCTCAGTTAAAGAGCTCCTTCTATGCTTCATCCATGTCGAGCTGTTAAATAGAATTATCAAATATTTGACATGTGAATGATAATATTGTTAATTCATGAGTTCAACAAGTCAATATCTACCTGCATAGCCAGCAGAACCTTTTGAATTTCGCTGAGCTCCTTCTCCAGAATGTCTCCGTGCACTGACAATGCTCGAATCGCCTCAGAATTCTTCTGGGCCAATGCTGCACTCTGCATATTACAAGAAGAAATTTAAGATCCATAATGTTCAGAGATCCCAGTACAGATCCCCCCACCCCCCAAAAAAAAAAAAAAAAAACAGCAGTAAATACGGGACATGAATGCGAAGGAGTTGTTAGCAGCAAGAATGATATACAACCTAAAGATCTACTTCATAAAACAAATAAACTAAGCCCTATTTTGTTGGAGAATGTACGGTTAAAAAATAAGGAAAATTTTTGAATTTACATGTAAAATTATTTTAAGGGAGAATGTGCTCTTGAAAATGAGTTTTTGAAAAAATGGTGGTCAAACATAGGCTAAATGTTTGGTCCTACTAAAGGAGCAGAAGTTTTCATAGGTCATATAGGCAACATATTTAGTTTCTTCTACCTCATCAAAAGAATGACAAGCAAATAACCTAATGCCCCGCAATTTCAAGAATGTATTTCATACACAAAGTTCTAATACAAGTACCTGAGTGTTTTTATCCCAGTATACTATCTCTAAAACATGGAAATTTCTAGAAGCTTAGAACTTCAGTGTCAAGCATGTTTTGGAAACCAAAACTCTTCCGAAAACTTAAGGTAAAGCTTTGAAAACTTGAAAATAGCATCCAATTTTTACGTTTATTGACCACTTGAAAAACTCCAGGGAAACTCAAAAGGATTTTTGGAAAACTTCGAAAATACTATAACTTTACTTATGTTCCAAATTACTTATTTAACCTTACTGAACTACTAAATTATACACAAACCAAATTATGTCATGCATTTGGTTGATCAAAAGAACAAAAAAAAGGTGCTGTGAGAAAGTGAAAATGATTTAAATTGAGTGGCTTGAGGGAGGGAAAAAAAATTAAAGAATGACATTCAATGAATAGAAGAAAAAGAATATAAGACAAAAAACACAAAGAGAAGAACCAACACAACAATCAGGTTAGCGACAACTTGGCACACAACTTATACCAACCAAAAAAATGAGATATAAGTAACCATCATTACTCATTAATTTTAGAATTTCTAAAGTAACGATTGTCTTTACAATCTAATCAATTCAATCTTTACAAATACCAATACTAAGTTTAATTATAATTTCATTTTCAATATTTATGTTGAGTAAGATGTAGATTGATTGAGGCAATATTCCAGTCTACATATAAAAAATTAAATTGTCAAAATTTATCTCAATGAACTCTGTGGACATAATTTGTTTACTGATAATATCAATAGACTATAGTGATAAATGCATTCATGTTGATGAGGAACCATTTGAAGTTAACTAAACGGAGAACTTGGAACAAACCTTTTTTTGTATGTATGTAAATATTTTTATAGTATTCACATAATACTAAATTGCTTTAATTATATTGAGTATTAAAATAATTATATTCTTGAATTAATAAATGAGAGAAGCTAGTAAGTTGATCATTACTATCAAGGAGCAGGTTTATTTCTTGTTGAACATGGCAGACCTCTAGAATAATCGAAGTAGCTTATAAATGTGGATTAACAAGAGACAAAAAGAGTAGCTAAAAGACATGTATTAGTTTGTGAAATGTACACGTCTTGTGTTATCCGACTAACGAGAAAATGAGTGAAGCTAATAATAAATTATAAATGCCATGTCGAATTATGTCTTCATTTATCCTACGAATGAGGAGTTTGCCAAACCTGCATGACTTGTGTAATTAATTATGTAGATTAAAGAGAAAATGGGAGAGCTAATAATAAATTATGAAAAGTTGACTGAATCATTCATGGAAAACCAAATGCCGCTTTTATTTCCTATTTACCAATGCAAACCTCTTGAATAAAATGAATAACTTATTTACACCACCCATCAACTTGTCAAACTCTATTTAGAAATCCATCAATCCCCAAAACACAAACAAACATTCAAATTAAAGAATGTAGTAGCTCATCATTATACAAAGAGTAATGCTATTTAGTACTATTGGTATTAAAACGTCAGTCTAGGTGGCAATAATGTCACATTAAATGAGAAGTACAATTAAATAAGTCATTTAATTTCACCTTTCATTGATTCTATCACATAACACCACCTAGATTGGTGTTATAGCGCCAGTGATGCTAGATAGCATTCTTCTTCTATAAAACTTGAGGCATTATGATTAAAAAACTTAGCTGCATTGATATATCGAGAGGCACTTTTAATGACAAGAGAGAAGCTACATTTCTCATTTTAAGAGTACAACCTATGTCCCCAAAATTTAAACTTATTACCTCAAACCTGTTAAATTAATAACTGAATGCCAAACAGAATATGAAATACAAAACCATCACAAATTACCTCAGCAATGGGCTCCTTGATAGCCTTTCTGTTGACCCGAAAACGAATTCCAAGCTTCTCCAGCTGCCTTGACAAAACCCGAATAATTGTCGCAGAGCTTCGCATATCCTCTTCCACTTTCTCCACCCTCTCCAACAAATTAACCCCGGAAGCTGATAACCTCGAGAACCCAACCCCACAAATCCTACTCCATTGCCGCCTCCTTATCACGGCTCCAACCACCACTCCACTTACCAAAACCACACACTGCCACACCAAAATCTTGTTCCACATCCATCCCACAAGCCCCTTCTGCGTCCCAGAGCTAACCGCAATATATATCGAACTCACAGCCGACGAGGCAAGACAAATAAATTCAAGAATCGAAAGAAATGTATCGAAATTATACTCACCACTGATGTTACCATTAATATTATCTTGCTTCGGTGCGGTTTCCAACGTTTCTTGAAACGAGGCTTTGACTTTTCTAACGTACAGAAGGTGATTGTGGGTAGGGAAATTCCGGGAATTTGGGAAATGGATTTTCGAATTCGGGATTAAACATGCGAAATTGAGCGATTTTAATAAATGGGTTCGCGAAACATTGGTAGGAAATGACGAAGGATTCTTGTTTGTGAAAAGGGTTCGAAATGAAAGTGACATCGCTTCTTCGTAGAGTAAAATTGATTATTGGGTTGATGCGAGTCACAGAGTCAGGATGTTTGGACTGTAAAGTGTTTCATGGTTTTTTATCAAGAACTTTCAACTTCGAAGAGCGAGGTTTAGCTGAATGCCAAACTGCAACTTGGAAAGGGCCGTTGAGCTGGGGCAAGTATTTTTTATTTTTTTATTTTTTTTTTGGGTTTTGTGGGTGGTG